ACCTAAACTCACTAAAGATTTCTAAATCAAATTATGTCAATTATATTTCTAATAAATCTTAGCTTGATAGGAATGTGTTAAGGATATTTAGAATCACTTAAATGTTTCTAATCCAACCTAAATAATCCAAGATTCAATGTTTCTAGTTAGCTACTCTAGAACCATGAGCAATTAGAACATCCTCTCAATTAGTATCACAACTAGCAATCCTATAGTTGAGGCTAATCCCTCTAACCTATTTAAACCCTAAATCTAACAAGTAAACTACTCAGACATAGCTAAGAAATTCATAACACAAGTACATAAATAAAACTGCATATTATAAATGAATAGATAGGTAGAAAGCACTGAAGTTCCAATCTCAAAAATCTCTAAAGATCTTCTCTCCAAACTATAAAACCCTAAAATTTGCTATGAAAAGAATGAAAAAAACTATATGTGTATTATTTATGTCTCTCTATTCTCCCCTCTTTGCCTCTAACACTTTGGCAAAATATATAATCTTAGGTTAAAACTCGTTAGGGGTAAAATCGTCATTTTGTGATGCTTGGGCTTCAAGTCAACTTGGCTCTCGAATTGGCTTATGGGTCTTGATAATCGATCGATTATGCAGGATGCATGTCGATCGATCCTGGTCTCTCTGTGTCGACCTCGTGATCGAGTCTAAATCGAGCGCTTCTGTGAATTCTCTCCAAAATGCTCCAAAAACATCACTTTCTTCCAAAATACTCTTGAACTCATAAATATGCTTTAAAACTTCTATATTATCGTAAATAGTAGTAAAAACACTAATATACCATGACTAAAACATGTCAAAATCATGGTATATCAAAAAGTCAACTTCAATCAAGTAATTAAATTTGAGTAAATTTTGAATTATTCAAAATTCTCATTGATTATAGGAACAATTACGGGGAAAATTCAATAAATATTAACAAAATATACCAAATATTTAATAATTAAATATTTTCACTTATTGTGATAATCATCCTGAAGTTCAAAAATAAAATATAATATTTCTTGAGTATATCATATAAGCCAATACAATTTTGTTAAGTATATCATATAACTACAAAATAAGAAATATAAATTTTCTTGAGTATATTTTGTGTATATATATCAGGTTTCATCATAGGTCATTGTTGAAAAAAAATTAGGAAGAAAACAGTATGTGACCACATACAATACTATAAGTTAAACTTTACAAAAATAAATAATAATACGTAAATAGTTTGTATATACAATTTTCATTCCATGGAATGCACGGAATTTTAAAAATCCTTTAGTTTTAATTACAGATTTTTTTGTGAATGATATTTAAAATGTAGTACTATGTATCATATATAATTATTATTTATAGATATGGTTTTTCATAGTTTACATACACTTATGTATTTAAATATTTAAATGACAATTTAATGGTTTGATTCTATAAACATGTTATTAATAACATGGTGTAACATTGCATCATAAAAAACATAGGTCTAATGGCATTAAATTGTAAATACTCTAGTAAATTATGTCTATTTTTATAAATGGATTGAGAAGGTTTGAGAGATTGACACATGAGTAATGGCAATTTTGTTAATCACACATAAATATAAGGTTATTTATTAAATATGCTCCTCGAATAATATATAAGGGATGCAAACTTTTGATTCTCTCTCCTAATTTTTTAATTTTGTTCTTTTTCTTAAATATTTAGAATATTTTTAATACTCATTTCATTTTATTTATCATTTTAAATTTGTATACATAGATTAAGAAATAATTTAATTTTACATATTGTCAAAATAAAAACACAATTACCCATACACCTAACCATATTTTAACCAATAGAAAAATAGAAACATAGATAAAAATAATAAATTCTACATTAAAAATATAAACGTCACTTATTTTGAAACGAATTATTTTTCTCTAAAATGATAAATAAAATAGAACGGATGGAGTAATTATTATTGGAGCTGCTCTTAGGTACAACTTCAAATACTTTCAGGATACATATACAGTACTACACACATGGGAAAAGTTATAAGTATTTACTTTATTTAACACAATGTTGGGCTTCATATCAAAAGAATGTCCAAAGATTAATAAAAAAATCATAACTATATTCCAGACATTTTCCTCTTAGTTGTCCAAAGGACCGAAGGTGATGATATAATACTACAACTATCAAGTATTAAAACTACTACTGTGTCATCAAATCTTGTGTTTCGGCCTTTTGTAGGTTTGAGGGGCCATATAATACCCAAAAATGGAAACACATCACCCTTAGAGTTCACATATAGTTTTATGTTTGTTATTATTATTTTTTAAAAGTATATATATATATATATATACCAACTGAATGTTTATTTATACAGTGTATGAAATGTGGATGTATGACCATCAGTGCAGTCCCGGTAGTTTTGGTGGCCTAAAGCCAATTTTTTTTTCATATAAAATATCTTAACTCATGATTTTTAAACAAAATAGATATATAAATCAGAAATGTGTTTAGACTTACGACAATAAAAATGTAAAATCAGTTTGGGACTACAAAAGCAAGGGATTGTCTTTAAAACATGTGAGATCCAAATATTATCACACTATGTTATAGTAAAGAGCATTAAAAATGTGGCCTTTAGAATTCACTTTTTATTTTGTGGCCTAAAAAAAAAAACCACACTCAGCTGATAAGAATCTAATACCGAAAGCCTTATGTTATTATTCTACTAGTAGTTATCCGGCGCTACGCGCCGGTTTTCTAATATTAATATAGTTTTGTTGTGACTTTATAATTTAGAACTTTTTAATATTATTCTAGAAAATAAAACATGTATTAATGATATAGAGGTATGTTAATTTGATTGTAGTCTCTGCATAGTCGATTTTGAGTATAAAATAAATTTAAGCTTAAATCATGACACTTTATGTTTAAATATATGCATGACAATCCAAGTTTAAACATATGCAGGACAATTTAAAAGTGTAATAGCCAATTGTTTATTATTTGATTTAAAATTATTAATTTTTATTACGATATAAAATTAATTTAAAAATGTGAACTTCATATAATATGTATATATATATATATGTGTGTTGTGGAAATATTTGTCATATCAAGAATTAGATATGACAAATATTACCTTTTGCACATATATAATTTATAATCTACATTAAAATCTTTAAATTATTTATTCAGATAGTAGTACACATTTAAATTGGATGATTTAGTCATCTCATCTCACTTATAAATAAGTTCTTTTTAAAAAGCTAAATAATAGTGCAGTTTTAATATATCGTATCTCGTTGTAAAATATTTTCCTAATTTTGCTATAAGAATAAATAAATAAATAAATATTCATTGTTTGATTTTCCTCATGATTTTGGTCACCTGGACTTGTATTATGGCTTCCATGATTATTGAAAATTTTGTAATAAACGTCACATGCCCAATTTCAGCTATGGTCTTTGTCGTAAAGATTAAGACTTTTATATTGCCCTATTTACTACGTCAATGAAAAGTAATCTACTCTATTAAAATAGAGTCATTCTTTTTATCTACTGATACAAGTTGTCACTTAAATTTGGACCCTTTCTAGAATGTTACAAATAATATAAGTCATATAATTGATTGAACCGTATTACTTAAATTAAACCAACACAATTAATGTAAAGAGATGACCTTAATGTAAACTACCTTCAAAATATGGCAGGTATCTATGTGTATACCAAAAACACAAATTTTATCCTACAAATATGGAATGTTCTAAAAGAATATATATCACCAAAATATTGAATATGGAAATCTACTAATTATACTTAAACTAAACTAGTGGTTATTTATGGAATATAGTTTTGGGTTTACTTTTGTTTTTTGAACAAATTATATAGTTTGGTTTTTGGGCTTCGTATTAAAAAAAAAACCCCAAAAACATTGAATAAACTTTTCACCTTAAAAGATCAAAAAATCAATTATTATTTTCAGACCCAAAAGATATTTAATATTTTTAACAAAACAAAATTATCTATTATTAATCATTTATTTAAATCATGTACTTTAAAACATGTTAATATATTTTTTTATTTTAAATAACAATCACTTTTTTGATAAATTTCAATGGTAACTTTTAAATAATTTGTTGTTTTATTTTTATTAAATAATTTACTGATTAAAAAAATGTAAAGCAAAACCAAAAACCAAATCTAAAAACTAAAATCCAAAACCAAAAGCTGAAAACACATGTTATATTTTTTTGCTTTGTTTATTTACAAAGTAAACTATTTCAATTTTTTTTTAAAAAAAATTGTTATTATCTTTTCAGTTTTAAATTAGATGTTCGATTATTTGAGATTTGTTTGTTGGTAATATTAGTTCAAACTAACTTAGTGGGTTTAAAAATTAAAAACTCAAACCAAAAACTGAAAATGAAAAGTAGAAACTTAAAAACTAAAAACCAAAATCTAAAAATAAAAACTGAAACTAAAAACTAATGAAAAACAATCATCACCACAAATTTTGGTGAACTGATTTTATATCAAAATATTCTTTAAATTAAGACAAAACTCAATTATATAAATTTTTAATCATAAAAAATTTCCGCGCTTTTCAAGCGCGGGTCAAAATCTAGTTACAATTAAGCAAGAATCACATTTCAATTGTCTGTAAATACCCTGCTCAACAAAATTAGTAAACAACACCATAAAATAATTTAAGCACAAGTTTACCAAAAAAATAATAATAATTTAATCAGTCAATTACTCATAACACAGTATCCTCAAAGATTACCAAAAAATGGAGGAGCCAGCATCTCTCGCGAAGACTAAACAACCAACAAACGCTTTGGGCAAGTTATTTCTCATAAATGGAAGAATCATCAGAAACAGAAATGAGTGGCTTAGAATTGTTCGAGTTTTGGCATATTGTGAGGGGTTAAAAGAAGTGTTTCTCTTCTTTCTCATGCTCTCTAAGATGCTCGGACTAGATTTTGGAACCATAGATCAAAATCATGAAAGAAGACCGTAAACACAAATTAAGAGAGTCGAGAGCGCTACGGTACCGTGGTATATCTGTAGAGGGGAGGCCAGTAGGGAGAATTGGAGATGCGTTCAGAGGCTTGTTGTTGTTGTTTAGTGGTACATCATAGGAGAGCGGCTCTACGGCCAGGTCTTGAGCCTGGTGCAGTTGATGTCTTCCTTGAATTCATCTGTCACTCTGGTGGACCGCTTCCAGAGGATTTACTCCCACAGGTCAAGGTTCGTTATTCTGTTCTTACTCCGCAGCTGTAGTTAAAACTAAACCTTTAAAGTTCTTACTCACCATGACCATGACATTTAACTATTTGCAGTGCCCGGTTCTAATCGTGCTTGGACGAGCTTATGGTGATTTTGATGCGGTTGAAGAGTTCGTTGTTTTGCCTGAAGCCCGCCACTGTCCTCATGTCTCTCCTCTCTCTCCAATGAAGTAACCTTTTATTCTTCTTCTTCTTATTAAATTGCTGTAAATTTTGTAGGATGAGAAGCAGGAAATGGTGAACCCACTTATTGAATCATTCGTTGTGAGACATTCAAAGTCCAGTACAGCCTTTACTCCAGGCATTTGTTCTCACTTTTCTTTTACATTTTTGCACTGTACAGAAACATATCATCTGAACCAACATGAACTGTCCACATGTGAAAACTCAGTGTGAGAAAACAGTGACTGTATGTATATATTTGATGAAGTAGAGAGCTCACTAAAGGACACAAACCTTTTGCTCTATACTCGCTATCAAAATTTCAAAACCTGCACTCGTTTTCTATAATCCAAAAGCAGGAGAATCTTATCCACGGCCAAACAAAACAAAGATCTAATTAAATATGTCTTTGTTATCATCCTTTACCATTTCAGTAGCAACATGCTCTCTCTTGTCCTACCACTTTCATCTGACCAGTACACACCACCTGAGACATCCTTCATATGTCATATGTTTGTTCTTGGCGAAGCAATGTTCCCTAAATACTTGTCTGATACATTCTTACAGGCCTGTATAACAAAAATAGATAAGAGATTTTCCTGCAGCTGTCTCAGAGTCAAAATAAAAAGGAGTGGCAGAAATCCCATTCAAGAAAGTTTCCTGTGAAAACAAATGATTTTTTAAAAGAAAAACATGAGACTAAAACCATACGTGGTCTTCCAGTGCAATTTTAGGAAGAATAAAAAAATAACTCACCACCAACTATCTTTGGATTGATGCTCGTGACAAGAACTACTCTGGGCTCTCTCCTGTAGCTATCAAATCGGCCTGGAATGCAAGAGCCTGGGAGTCAAACATACTCACACACACGTTCACGTCTCTGCAAAAAAAGACATGCCTTATTCAGTCATTTGTTATGATTGAGTATATATTGTAACCAATGAAGTGTAGGCAAACGAAAATACCTATCCAGCCTTAAAGTGATCACACGTTGCTGCATCAGATAACCGGTATTTTGGGTTGCTGCGTGTGACATCAAACCCGGCTAGACTGTAGACAGAACCTTCGGTTAAACTCTGCCTGAATCTGACCTCTCGAGCCGCAGCAATGGATGCTTGCATCAGAGTTGACTGTTTGTTTTAAAAAAAAACATTTCAGTAACTAAAGATAAATAAATGCTATCATAAGGAACGTATATTTGACAGAACAATAAAATTATTTCGAGGATCCGATAAAGGAAAGGAAACGATTTAATAGAAACGTATATTGCAAAGAATAAAATCAGCGTGACTGTTTTGGAAATAAGAATAAAAACTTCTTATGTAATTTGTCAGAAAAGGAACGTATACCTTAAATCTTTTTTTTTAAACAAATCATTCCAGGATCTATACAAAAGGACACGATATAAGAATGAATGTTTATTGGAGAGACAAAAAACTTTTTCAAGATCTACACAAAAGGAAACGATTTCAGCAAGAACATATATTGGAGAGGCTTAACCGAAACCAGATGTTCTTACATTCTCATCAATCAGCAACATGTCAAGACTCATCAGTTCACCGGATCTGCTGCTGTTTCTGTTGGTGTTTCTCGCCTCCCAAAACCGGAGTAGTCAGACCTTCGCCGTGTGAGAACAACGCCTGGCCTTCAAATCAGCAAAGAGAGCATAAGAGTTAGCCATAGCAGTAATCGTGTAAGTAATTTGCTCTTCAAAATCGTTTGAGTTGCGTTCCCCATCATTGGAGGCACAAGTATTTAAACCCAACTCTGGACGGTTTGTGTGGGAGTCGAAAAGTTCGACTAAATGCTTCTAACTGTGATAAGGATGATAAGCTCAGATTTAATAAGGTATTAATGGATGGAAGGGGCGTTACAGTGTGGAGATAGCGATTCTGCGGCGAGTTGCCAGAGGCGGACCTCGAACGGGATGGAAAGAGGAAGCATGAATGACCTAAAAAAGTTTATGGGCCTTCAGTAACCCAGTAAACTCGCCCAGCCCAACAACGTATTTGATTAACCAAACCGGTCTAATAATTGAACTCAAAACCGAGACGCAGTGACTTGTTTTTTCTGGTTCGATTTCAAAGAGTAATTGGTGACATGTCTTTTTTTGCCCACCTCACAAATGCTGAGGTGGCTCTCTAAGAAGGGAGAAAAGCCAACTTTATTGTATAAGATTTTTGTGGTAAGTTTTAAGATCACACTAGATTTTGATTTGCATTTTGAAAGCACGGAATAATTTTTTGGTGTAGACATTATTTAGTAGTCTTTTCTCTTTGTTTAAAATATGTTTACAATATGCTTTATCATAAAATCTATAATCTGAAGTCCAAGCCGAACCCAAACTACAAAAATCTTATACATATCCGATCTGAAATATAAAAAATACCATAAGAGATTTTGTAGGGTGGTAGTGGTACATAACATATCAAAACCAAAGTGTTATTAGCCAATCCAAACCAATAACCCGAAAAAACCTATAAAGATTTGAAAAACCGATTTGAATGTTCAAATTAATCACAAATATAAATATTTTTGAAACATAAATATATATTTCAAATCTATATTTATTTTTGAATGATATCTAAAAATAAATATTTAAATTTAAAAGTACCTTAAATATATTCTTCTATATAAATAAGCATGTATTTCTTATGTTTGCTTTAAAAAATTTGATTAAACTTTGGATATATCCAGACCAAACCAGCATAAACCGTATTTTAATGATATATGATTATTTTATGGTTTTAGGATGTGATACAAATTAGAACCAAATTAATGTGTTATATCTAAACACCAATCCATATTTAAAAATTTAGCAGAATGAGATCTAGGATGTGATATAAATTAGAACCAAAATTCAAAAACCCAACTCGTATCCTAATGGATATTTGAATGCTCAAGTCCAACTTTAAACCTAATTTAGATGGTCTAGCAATTTTTATTCAAAATTTTATTTACCCAAAATATAAATTATACATATACATATATATATATATATATAAGTTTTTTTTGTTGCTAAGAATGCTAATATCATATTAATGATGTTCAAATTTCACAAAAAGCTAAATATAGAGAATACTCTACCTTGGCAAAAGAAGAAATATATATATATATATACTTTTATAAATAAACTTTTGTTTTTAAAGTATATTAATTAAACTAAAATTTTATAAATATAATTTTATGAAAATAAGATTATATAACCTGCCTCATATTAATTTTAATTATATTTAAAATTTTAAAGGTATAATATGAATATATTTTTTATTGTTTACATTTTTTATGAAATAATCTGCAAGAAACTATAATTGTAATCATAATATACAGTTCCATATACCATATAATCAAATAATACTAATGTCAAATAAATTTAGTATTTTATTTTATATTACATTATATCCTAAGGTTTTAATTTAGATATGTATATTTAAATATAAAATTATTTCTTATTTTAAATATCTTATGGTAGTATTTTGTTTTAATAAGTTGAAGTACGTTGTAAGCTATATAAATATATGTTAATCTGTAAATGTAATTTATTTAGTTTATAATTTATAGAAACAGACTAGGTTATTTTATAATTATTATTTCGTGTAATTTTTAATTACAAATATGAAATATTTATATAAAAAAATTCTATAAGGTTATTTCTTATTCTATAAATCAAAATAAGTTAATATTAATATGTAATTAAATTTAATATTATTTTACGTTTGTATTATTGAAATAATATTAAAACAAAAAATATATTTTTAAATAAAAATATATTAAAGATATTGTTAAAATATAATCTGAAAAGTAGTTAAGAGTATCTTCTGATATCTTACTTTGAATATATTTAAATAATATATTAATATTATGTGTTTATTTAATAATAATTAAGTTAGTTGTATGTAACATAACATAAAATTAAATAAATATAATGGTTCAATCTAGACTATTTGCAAGTAGATAAAAACTGCTTCTGATTTTTTTTTTGTCAACCGCCCATCTAAACTAGATCAAGTGGTGGCCGGGTCTGATCTATATGGGAAAATGATATCCTCTAGTCCTTGCTTCTTTTTCTAGCTTGTCTGCTCGACCATTCCTACTTCGGAAAATATGAGACAGACTCACATCCTCGAGGTCTTCATGTAATTTCTGGAACACTTTGATCTATGTCCTGAAAGTCGGCAAATCCTCCGGGTTAGTAGTCATGTCCACTAGGTCCGAGCAGTCCGTCTCAAATCGTATCAAAGTTATCCTTCTGTCTCTCATACATGAGGCTGCCTAAAGTAAACCTTCCATCTCAGCATGAAAAGCTGAGAGGCTCCTTCTGCACGCTCGTAATCCGTAAACTTCCGAACTCATTTGATCCTTAAGACTTCACCCTAGGCCACTAACAGTACCATTATTGATCCATGACGCATCAATTTGGCAGGTAGGAATTCAGGGTATCCAAGGGGTACTGTCTCATCCTCTGTAATAGGAGGGTCGTCATGATCCACGTTTGCCTCCTCCCTTTCATTAACTTTCCTCTAACATTCTGTCTCAAGAGACGCGTGTTGAAGATTGTCAATCGGGGATACGACTTTCCCATTAAAGAGTTTATCATTCCTCGCCTTCTAAATGTACCAACAGGTCCATGGGAAGGTGTCGAATTGTGGTCTCAGTGGAGCCAACTCTTTTCTCTCCCAAAACAGAAAGTTCATGTTTTGGTATATAGATGTACTTGGGAAGTAACCCGGAAAGATCGGATAGTCCGATAAAGCCCAAACCTGTAGGGTTGGAGGGCATTCAAAAAGAAGATGATTAATCGACTCTATTGGACCAGCACATCTAGGACAACTCCTATCGGTGACCAGGTGTCTATACATGAGCCTCTCTGCCATCGCCACACAGCCCGAGATAGCCTGCCACAAAAATGCTTCATCTTACCTGGGGCCTTTATCTTCCACACATGGCTCTGAAGACTCGTCTTCTATGAAAAAATTAGCATGGCGGATTGGAGTAGGTTATAACCGGTTTTAACAGAATATGCTCCTGATTTTGTATGGTTCCAAACATATCCATTCGAAGCGTGAGACCAAGAAGGTTTTATCCCAAGTATCAAAGGGATATCTTCTGGGCGAAAAATTCCCGCAAAAATTGGATATCCCACTCCTTGGTATCATTCCTAATATGGACTGAACAATGTAATCCGCAGGTCTAGGTGGTCGAGCTACTGAGTCTGGACCCAAGGCTAACTCCATACCCTCGTATCAAGACTCGTACCAATTGGCCTTCATAAACCCGATATGAGAAGAGATTTTGCTGCCATGATACTACGCCATCCATATGATGGTGAGTATGTTCGTCGATCATCCAAAGGAGAACTGTGTCTGTAGTACCTTCCCTTTAAGACACGTGCCAGTAGGGAGTTCAGGTAATGGATTAATCTCCACAACTGTTTCGCAAGAACTGCTATATTGAAGTCATGGAGATCTCGAAAACCTAGTCCCCCCGAATCCTTAGGGGTACAGATCTCGTCCCATGCTAGCCAATGTAAACATCTGCTATTCTGTTTTGAGCTCCACTAAAAATTAGAAGTTGTGCTCCTTAGTTTATCGGTAATACTTTGTGGAATCAAGTAACACGACATTGGAAAGGTCGGAACTGCTTGAGCCACAGATCTAGCTTGAATTTCTTTTCCTCCTTTAGAGAAGAGTCTCGATGACCAAGTGTTGACTCGCCCATTGAGCCGATCTTGTATATATGAAAACCCTTTCATCTTTGAACCACCGATTTGTTCTGGTAATCCAAGGTACATCCCCATGCCTCCTTCAAAAAGAAATCTCAAGGCCTCTTTATATCCTTCATTAAAGAATACTCCACTCGATTACCAAAAAACATAGAGGAATTTGACGAATTTAATCTTTGTCCTGACGCCTTCCCATATGTGTCAAGAATGTATATGATCTCTTTGCATTGGCTTAAATCTGCCTTACCGCAGAAAATAGTGACATCTGCGAAGAGTAGATGGGATATCCTTGGGCTCGCTTGCGCAACACGGATATCGACAATTTTCTTCTCCGCTTCTGCTCCATTTAAAAGCAAGGCCAAGGCCTCTGTACGCAAGATAAACAAAAAAGGGGGGAAAGGGGGTCTCCTTGTCACAAACCCCTACTTGGAAAGATCCGCTCTCTTGGTTGCCCATTGACTAAAACTTGATATGAGACCGACGTGATACAACACATAATGAGATCAACAAGTCTTTCATTAAAGATCATCTTCACCATCAATTTTGCTAGGAACCTCCATTCCACTCTATCATAAGCTTTGCTCATATCTGTTTTAATAGCCATAAATTCTTTCCTACACCTCTGGTTTTTCCGTAGGGCATGAAAATTCTCTTGTGTTATCAGAATGTTATTAGTAATCAAATGTTTTGCCACAAAGGAAGATTGTGTCTCTGAGATCAAGAGTGGAATATCCCTCTTAATTCTCTTGCATAAGAGCTTAGATATAATTGTGTAGCTAACATTGCAGAGACTAATAGGTATGAACTCAGTCATGTCTCGGGGTTTCTTCGTTTTAGGTTTGAGGCAAATATTCATCTGATTCATAAGTGGATCAAAATTGCCTGTCGCAAAGAAATCTTGTACGAGTCTAATAATGTCTTGACGCATCTCACGCCAGAATTTCTAGAATAATTTACTA